CAGCAGTGGGTGGGAACTCCTGCTGGCTTTTCAGGGTTCCTCACCAGGCCTGACGGCGCAGGCATGGGAGAAACACGTCGACGGGCCCGAAGTGAGACCAAGACACACAAACACAGACTCTGCCTCTTCTCAAGGCCCGTGGGCACAGCTCCCCGCTGTGCTGCCCCTCAGTAAGCCGCCGGTGTCTCTGAGCCTCAGTTTTCCCACCAGCAGAATGGGGATGGCCAGGGTCCCACCCTGCAGTCTGTGTCGGGGTCAGACAGGCCGAGGGTGTATGAGCTCAGCATGGCGGGCGGGGCGGGTGGTTTTTAAGCAGGTGGTTCGGGCCCCTGCCCTCAGGTGAGCAAGGGGTGGTCAACTTTCTTGATTGTTGCCCCGAGTCACTTGCTTTAGGAGGTGATGCCCACATCACCTCAAACATGAGTACTCTTGTCAAATGTCATTGTTTAAAAAAAACTCGAAAAGGATTATTATAATTTTGCTCTTGAATCGTTTGGCTACCTGGGTCTGCTTTGGCCTCTCTGAGCCTCTGGCCCATCTTTAAGAGGGCCGGTGATGTCCCCACGTCACAGAGTTCGATGTCAGCCTCTGTCAGGCTATAGGACAGTGTGCCCAGCACCTGAGAAGTCCTGTGCGCGTGTCGGCTGAAGGAGATAAAACACCAGAAACCTGCAGTTTCGGTTGCTTGTCAACTCTCCAGCTGTGCCCTGGCTCACCCCCGAGTCCACCCAGGAGGCCAGCGTTGAGAAGGCCCAGGGGCTGTCTGGTTCGGCCTCCTCATGAACAGATGCCCAGGGCTCTGGAGCAGAAGGGATCTGCCCAAGTTCAAGGTGTGCCGGTCCCTGGTCTCCTGGCCCTGACCCACTGCCTTACAGGTCCCTGCACTGGGCCTTCTCCTTATCACCCACATTCACTCCCCACTGGTTATTCCCTCCTGAGATGAGAAAAGAGATGGTTTAATGCAGATGTTGGGTGCAAGGGTGGCCACGGGAGTCCCCGGGCTGGGCCTCACTCACCAAGTGATTTCGAGCGTCACACTGCCTCTCTGGGTTGTCTCACCACCTAACAACACATGCTGACAACATCATTTGCCTGCCAGGGCCGGGACCACCATTCTCCACATCCTGAAGTTTCCGGCACAAAGTGGTTCCCCGGGAAATGTAAGTATTTCCCCAGCCCGCAGCCCCACCCGGCTCTTCTCTTTCAGAATCTCCTCCAAACCCTTTTTTCTCTCCAAGGTGTTGGTGCCTAAGAATAATCGAAGGTTACCCCCTCCTGGGGCATCTGAGCAGGGAGCAAGTTTAACTGGCAGCCTCCGGCCTCCGAGGATGAGAAAGGGTTTGGGGGTGTGGGTTGCAAAGGGGGCTGGGGCCTGGGAGAAGGGGGGCCGGCGGGCCTTTCCTGGTGGCGAGAACAAAACCGGTGTTGGAGGAGCTGTTGCTATCTAGATTGGGGGGTGGGGGCGCTGGGTGTCATTTCCCAGATGAAAAAAAGGCTGAGGAGCAGGAATTCTTCGGAAAGGAGGCCCATGAGTCATAAGAGGCAGGGAGTCGGGAGGGAAGCTGCCAACAGCACATGTAACCCTGGAAATATTGTAACAGATTCTCGGGGGGAATGGAAGCACCTTTGAACCGATTCCTTGGAAGGGCACCCATGGGCCCACAGTGGGGCTGTTCCAGCCCGGGCCACCTGGGAGTTACCTGTCCTTCCTTCTTGGGTCCAAGGAGAAAAGCGGACAGTTGGGGTCTGAGGGTAGACCTGCACAACAGGAGGCCGGGAGGGGCCTCGGCCATCACCCAGTCCCACCTGCCACCCACAGACAGTCCGCTGAGGCCCAGAGAGGAGGAAGATGGCTGCCAGAAGCCTTGGCTGAACCGGCACCTTCTCTAACAAGTCCTGGGGGGCCCTCAGCCACTGAGAAAATTGGAAAAGAGTTCTCCAGCAGCGCTGGCTCTTAACACCAACCGGTTCTGTGAATGAGATCAGCCCCAAGCTGTGGCAGATGACAACGTGAGCCATCCAGACCATTGTCACCATCTGATACACGGGACTGGAGTTCAGCGCACACCTGGCTGAAATGCCAAAGATGAAGCAACTCGCCTGTGCAAGCAGTCGGCTTGAGGGTGATTTTTCCTTTTGTGAAACTTCACTGTATCATTGCTCTAGTGCTGTTTGCAAAATAAATCTCAGGGACAGAAGTGCTGGGGTCCCTGAGAGCTTCTGTGACTCCCGTCATCTCTCGTTGCTTGAGGTGCTGGTTTCTATCACTGTCCTCACCAGGAGACCAAGGAAGGAATGACACAGACGGGTTACTGCGCAATTCTCCAGGGCACAGGCACCGCTGGGGTCTCACGGGGCAGAAAATCGGGGTCAGGCAGGGCTGGCTCCTTGTGGAGGCTCTTGGGGACAGTCTGATTCCTTGCCTTCCACTCTGGTTCCAGAAGTGGTCCACTCTCCTTGAGGCGTGGCCCCTTCCTCCGTCTTGGAGGCCAGCAACACTGCCGCTCGTGCCTTTTTCCGTGGTCACGACTCTGACTACAGGCGCGAAAATCACCTCCAGTGTTAAGAATTTATGTGGTTAGATGGGGCCCGCATGGAGAGCCCAGGATAACTTCTTCATCTCCAAGTCCGCACCCGGACTCACTTCTGCAAAACCCATTTTGCCGTGCAAGGTGTCACGCCTTCACAGGCTCCAGGGAGGAGGGCGTGGGGACAGGGGGCCATTGGTCTGCAGACGCACTGTTTTTTTGTTCTCAGTGACCTTTCAAAGTGCATTTCACTTCTTTGCAGATAAGAACATTTTCATTGTCATGAGAAATATGGTTAAACCAGAATTTTTTTCCCAAGGATTTTCAATCATTTAAAAATATATATTTTGTGTGTTTATTTTTACAGAGAGGGAAGGGAGGGAGGAAGGGAGGCAGAGAGGGAGAGAAACATCAATGTGTGGTTGCCTCTCATATGCCCCCTACTGGGGACCTGGCCCACAACCCAGGCATGTGTCCTGACTGGGAATCGAACCGGCCACCCTTTGGTTCATAGGCTGGTACTCAATCCACTGAGCCACACCAGCTGGGGCCCAATCACTTTATTTTTGTTTATATTCTGAATATTTATATATAGAAAAGTGCGAAAATCACAGTTACAGCTGGAGTTTTATAAACTGACCACGCCCGTGTAATCAGTGCCCAAATCAAGGCCCAGAACGTGCCCGACGGCCCCAGAAGCCTGCTGATCCCTCTTCGAGTCCGGAACACAAGTCCACCCTGTGGAACATGAAAACATCCCCTGTGTGGACATTTGCCTGCACTGTGACTGAGATAGAAAGGAGAGAACCCAAGTGATGCTCATTGATTCACACAGCCCAGATTCTCTGGACACACTGGTCCTGGGCTGGATGCCAGGGAGCACGGGCAGAGTTCATTCAGCACTGGTCCTTGGCACCAAGTCTAGGGAGGCAACCACGGGAGTGAGTGGGGCTCAGGAAGGGAGTTTCGGTAGAAGAACACAGATGCGTCGGCTAAGCCTGCCCAGGAGGCTTCCTACTCAGCCCTTTCCCAACGTCCCCAGCTCCTACCTCAGCTGTCCGGACTCCGCAGGACTGGAGGCCTGAAGCCTCAGGCCAGCGCGGTCAGGACACAAGCCTGGAGGAGAGAGATACACCCACAGCCAATCATTACAATTCCTCCCTCACTCCACACCTCTTTGCAGAGCCCCAGCCCCCGCCCCAAGCCTGGTGCTGGAGACCCAGAGTGAAGCCTAAAGCAGGATCCAGACCACCTGTTTCCTTCACCAGCGCTGTTCCCACAGCCTGCAGCCCCCAGCCTCCTCAAGCCTCCTGGAGAAGATTTCCTTGCTTCCCTATCGGGCCTCTCATTCCCTCTTCATTCATCGTCTCGCATGCATGCATTTTGTCGGCGTCAGCCAAGTGCCAGGCAACCGTCTAGGCACTGGGAACACAGCCCTGCGGGAGACGGATCCCTTCCTTCCTGGGGTGGGGGGGTGTGGTCAGACAGCAAATGACACAGCCTTGACTCCTCCCCCCAAAAAACCCTGAGGAAGTGAGATTTGCAAGGAAGAGAAGAAGGAAAGGGGGTGGGGCCTGGTGGGGGACCCTCCCTGATGAGTCTGAGGAATGGAAGCTGGCAGGACTGCAGGGAGTGACTTTGGACGACTTTGGAAGGGGGCCACCAGGGCTGAGGTGGGGGGAGGTCTCTGGCTGCTTCACCCAGTTCAGCAGGACTGACGCCCGGCTGGACCTTGGCCTTCCTCAGGATCACGTGCCCAGCTGACCTACCTCCTCCGCCAAACCTAGTTAACAACCGAGGGCACACCCCCACTGTACAGCCGAGGTGATAGGCTCCGAGCCCTTGTGCACTACTCCAGGCGGAGAAGTCTGTGGGGGCAAGAAGGGTTTGCCCATCGTGCCCCCCGTGAGACCTCTTTATGGGGGAGCAGGCAACCTATTTCTGGGTTCCTCGGAGGAAGTTCTCAGCGGAACTCCACAGCCTTTGTGATTTGATGGAGAGAAGGAGGGGGACAACGAGCAGGGTGGATGCCCAGTCCATCTTCTGAGCGGTGTAGCGCTAGGAGGCAGGAGGGGCTAACCTGCAGGAGGTGTTTAGGAGCAGAGGTCGGTCTCGGGAAGGGCAGGAGGGCTAGGGCCTGGAGAAGGTGACCGCTGGGGTGGAGGGGTCATGGAGCGTCAGGGGACAAAGGGCTCGGAGGTCGAGGCGGGATCAGGAGAGCCATTTAAGTAAGAGAGTGGCGTCGCGCCGACTCTGGGTCCAGGAAGCCGGCCGCAAAGCGAGCCCACCCAGATGGGTCGGGGGCGGGGCCTGGAGAAGAGGGGCGGAGTCAGGGAAGCCGGCGGTGTGTCAGGAAGTGGCTGGGAGGAGTTGTGGGGCGGGGCCTGGCGTTTTGGGCGGGGCCTAGATACCGTGGGGGCGGGGCCTCGAGGGCGAAACCGTGCAGGGCGGGTCGGGGCGGAGCAGGGCAGCCTGGGGCCGGGAGGTGCACGGGTGGAGGCAGTGCGGAGGTTCGCTGGAATCGCTGGGCTCGGCGGGTGGCGGCGAGCGGCGGCGACGCGCACAAAGGCGTATTGTGGCTTCACTGGTGCTCGCGGCGGGCGGCGCCGGGGCGGGGGCGGCGGGGCACGCCGGGAAACCCGGCGGGAGCGGCGCGGGCGATGAACCGGGGCCCGGCATGGCCTCTGCGCGGCCGCCGGGCCGGGCCTGCGCCTCGGCGCCCGCGCCCGCCGGGCTCCGTACCGGGCCGCCCGCCCTCTCCGCCGCCACCGCCGTTTCTCCCGAGCCTGCGGGCGGCGCCGAGGCCGAAGAACGCTCGCTGCAGCACATGCTGCGCGCCATAGCCGAGGAACGCGGCCGCGTCAGCCTGCGCCGCGAGGTCTGCGGCCTCGGTGAGTGGGGCCGGCCGGGGATGATGCCGAGTCGGCGGGGCCGGAGCGGCGCTGGGATGTGCGCGTCTCCGCGAGTCTCTGCGCGTCTCCGTCTCTGCCTGTCTGTCTCTTCATGTATCTCTGTCTTTGCGTGTGTCTGTCTCTGCGCTCGTCTCCGTGGCTCCCTGCGTATCGCGTCTGCCTCCATGTGCCCCCAGGTTCCTGGGTCTTTCCTGTGCCCGTATGTCTGTGTCTCTCTGATTTTGGTTCCAAGAGCATCCCCCATGCTTAGGTCCCTGTGTCTCTTTCTTTCCTGTGTCACTCGGTGTCTCCCTCTGTTCGTCTTCCTCTTTCCATTTAGTGGCTCTGCCAGGCCCCTTCTCCAGGAAGTCTTTACCGAAGCCTCGGAGCCTCAGTGCCGCTGCAGAGTGTGGGCGCTAAATTTGGGGAGACCCTCTGCTCATCATTGCAGAACCAGGGTCCCACCGGCTGTGGGCAGACCCCCCTGCAGGTGCGCCCTGGTTACTGTCCCCAGCAGACCAGGAGGACTTCCTGAAGCCTTTGTCTTCTTGCACCTGACTGCACCCGCTGGTTCTGCTTGACCCTTAGCTTGCACTGGGGGGACCTGTTGGGCTGCAGTCCCCTGAACACACCCGCTTAGCAGAGGGAACAGGGCCTGCTGCCCCTCTGGGTGTGATTCTGCTTTCAGGGGGCCCTAAGTCATAGATGTGCCAATAGGGTGGGGTGGAGGGGGGTCTCATATTGTTGGAAAGACCTTGGGACTGCAGGTGTGGGTGGGGTCTGCCCGCCGGGCTGCATGTGAGGTAATCGCTACTGATGGGCTGTGGATCTCTGGGAGCCCCCTCCCCTGCAGTGTCAGGCTTGCCCTTCTCTCCAGGAAAAGACCCCTCCCTTTTTCATGCGGGAATGACTTCATAGCTCGCTGTCTGCCGCCCCCACCCCACCCTCATCCCCAGGCCGGGCATTTCTGAGAAGGTGACAGCATTGTGCAGAAAGGAATATCAGCTTTGGAGATTCTGCCAGTTCCCCCTTCATTCACCACTGGGGAAACTGAGTCCCAAAGAGCCAACATGTCCCTCTTAAGGTCCCAAGGCAGCAGGGACATGGCAGCCCCAGGGGATCCAGGCCCCTTAGCCAGGGCCACACCCTGGAGGATGGGTGAGGAGAGGAAAGAAATTCCAGTCCTCCTTTGTGCAGGAGGCAGCTTTACCAGCAGATACTTCCCTTTGGGGAGCAGGTCCCAGCCTGGGCCTGCCCGGAGAGGGAAGCTTACCTTTGGCACCGGGTGGGGACGTGGTGGGGATGGGCGAGGACGTGGGTTTCTCTGTGTTTTTTTTTTTCTGAAAAGTGTCACGACTTAGTTTTGTGCAGAAATGGAAGGATCTGCATTAATTGATTCAGCAGACACTCCCTGAGCACCTACCGTGTGCCAGGCTGCATGCCAGCCCCGTAGGCCCGCCTGTCACCTGGCACAGCATGTCTCAAGTGGGAGGGGTCTGAGAGACCATCTGCTCCAGGCCATTCAGCCCTTTGCTCAGCAGCCCCTCCCACACCCTCGTCACCATGCTCCTACTGCCCTCTGGCCTCTGAGCATCTCTCTCCCCTGTGGGACAGTCCTTGCCCCAAGGAGCCCATTTTTACTGATCCCTAAAATCAGTAATCATTCATTCTAGCAGCTGGCTCTCGCTGACCCCTTTCTGTTTGCCGGGTGCCTTGTGCTGCCGTCGTGGGTTTGATGATACTGGAATGCTATCTCCATTTCACCACCGAGGCACCTGCGGTCGAGGGAAGCAAGAGGCTCGTCCACAGACAGCCAGTGAGGCCATGGCACAGCAGGGACTGGTCCTCCGTCCTTCCGACCCCAGAGCCTGCCCTGTCCCCCCAGCCTCCACAATGTGCCAAGCCAGGCCTCACTGCACCCCCTGCTCTGCATCTGGGGAGAACGGCCCCCTAGCAGTAGGCACAGGTGGTCACACTATTACCTTGTTTCCTGTCCTGGCCTGTGGTCCACCCTCCCTCACGGGCCTCCCTGTCTCACCCCTCACCCTGCCCCAGACCCCTGAACTCAGTCTCCGCCTGCACTGAGGCTCTGCACGTTGAAGCCTGCTGTTTTCTCTACCTGGAAGGCCAGCCCCTACTCATCTGCCCTGCAAACCCCTGCAGGTGTCCCTTTAAGCCTCAGCTCCAGGGCTGCCCCCAGGGCCCCTCCTTCCACTCCCTGTACCACTGCCTTTGCCCTGGAAGGTCAGGAGCTTGTGGCATTGTAATGTCCTGTGTGGCAGTCTCCCCAGCAGTCAACATCTAGCAAACAAGGGAGAGTTCATTTCTAGCCTGGGGCATGAAGGGTGTAGACAGCTGAGGAGAATGGAGTCCCAACCTCCTAGAAGGGCATGTGTTGCCCACCTCTCATTTTTCAGATGGGGAAGGGACAAGCTTCATAGTGACCTCATGCCCAAAGCAGAGAAAGGACCCAAGAGTCAGCCTGAGCCCAAGCCCGCAACCTGAGCCCGGCCCTAGAGCACTTTTCCACCCAGTGGCTCAGGAAACCCTCCCGGTCTCCACCTCACAGCTGTGACAACCTGTTACATTTAGGAACTCACCCAGACCTCCCAGACTGCCGCTGCTGTTTAACTAAAGTCCAGGTTATTCAGAGCCATGTGTGTTCTGTGAGGTTGTTTTGAAAGTGTCGAGGAGGCTATGGTGGAGACGTTTGATCCTGGAGAAGCTGTTGTCATTTCTGAGTCACAGAGTATGCCTTTGTGATGGGAGGGAGTGCCCGCCCTGCCGCGTGGGCCTCGTCAGCTGGCTGTCTCGATGAAAGGCACCTTGTAGGTGCAGACCTGACTTGAATCTTGTCTGCCGTGGCCTCTGCAGGAGGGGCATCTCTGAGCACTTGCCCTGTGCCAGGAGGGGGTTCAGCGCGATCCCTGCCCGGCGGGAGGGCACCACTGAGCCTGGGAGAGAAGCCGGCCGCGTGGGTGACATGGTCAGAGTAAAAGTCCTGCTGGGAACTGCCAGGGCTGCGGCCACTGCCAGCGGGATCTTGGTGTTTAATCCACAGGAAACTGCTAGTGATTCCAGGTCACAGGTGAACCGAGCTGGCTGGCCGAGGTCGCTCTGGTGGGCCTCCGGAATCTGAGCTGGGCATATGAGGGGTCTGGTGCCCAGATGTGTGATGCTGGCATCCGGGCCAAGATGGACATAGTCTGACACATGGGCTGGGGCCTGGGCCTTCTTGTGGGCTCTGGATGTCAGCCCAGGCATACTGTGTGGCTGCTCCCTTTCCACGGGGGCCTCGAGCCACTGACCTGCGGGTAGGCCACGTAGAGAGGACTTGGCCCCTGGACCTGGTGGGCGTCGAGGAGAGGCGCCCTGAGGGGAGGGCCCTGCGTCATGCTGTTGCCTTTGGTCCCTCCCCCAGGGAGCATCTCCAGCTGTCACTTCCTGTTAGGTAGCCCCTGTCTGTAATGCTGTGGGGCAAAACATGTGTTTTATGTTCATGGTTTCCTTTTACCCTCCAAGCGCCCCCATGATGTAGGCATCTCTGTACTCTCTGTCCTGATGAGGAAACGCAGGTGTCATGTGAATGAACACGCCCCCGGTCCCGTGGCCTGTGAGTGCCAGAATCTGTGTGAGCCTGAGCTCTCAGCAGAGGTGAAGCCCACCCATCTGTGTTCTCTGGCTGCTGGCAGCCCGGCCCAAGGTGGACAGGGGAGGGGCCCAGTGGAGGAGTGAGAGTGTGCGCCCCTGGGGGCAGAGAAGAGGGAGCTGCCCGGGCTGCGGGGGCCGAGGAGCACTGGGCAGCTCGCAGCCTCTGAGAGGGGCTGAGGCAGGACAGTGCACGCCTGGGGGTGGGGCAAGGCTCACACACTTGCGGGGGGGCTGGGTGCCCCAAATGGTCGGCTCACAATTTGCACTTCCTTGGCCTGACCCTCTGGAGATTTTCGGGTGTTTGACTTGTGGGGTGGCCTGTACAGGAGAGGCCATGGACAGAGGACACTGCCCGCTTGCTGCGGGCCGGCCACGCTGTATGTACCTGCAGCAGGTTCCATCCAGGTAGGTTCTGTTGTTGCCCATTTTGCAGATGAGAAACCAAGCTTCTGAGAGGAAGGTGACTCACCCGAGGTCAGGCAGCTGGGTGGCGGGAAAATGGGGGGTCGTAGGGTTCCAGCAGAGGCCTGTCCAGTATGAATAGCCATTCTGCACAGAGCTCATGCCAGAGGGAGTGAAGGGGGAACTGCCTTCTCATGAGCCCCTCCTGAGTGCTGGCCCCTGCATGTGCGAGCCCCCTGGGAACGGGGGAAGGACCGCATACACCAGCCTGGCCTTGTGGTGCTAGGTGCAGGGTAGCTGGGCGCCAGGGGCTGGGTGGGGGTTTTGGTGGGACTTGTGGCTGGAGGGAGAGACTGGGGGCCTCTGCGTCCCCATCTGTGAAGTGGATACCACGACATCTGTAGGTAGGATTGTGGGGTCGTGTGAGGTGTGGCAGGTGCAGGGCCGGCCTGAAGGCAGCTGCTGTTCACAGGGGCACAGCATGTGGGCCCTCGCACAGACTCACATCTGGGCTCAAACTCGGGGCCCGGGCTGCCCCACAGTCACTGGGGACTGTTCCCGGCTTACCTGGGGCCCCGGGTGTCCTGCCACAGGCCACAGGCTGACCTGGATCTGGGCTGGGGCGGGGGTGGGGTGGGGGGTGGGGGGAGGTGGGGGTGGTGGTGAGGAAGTGCGATGGGCCTCTTTCTCGGTTTCTGGGCCTATTTTTAAGGCCCATGGGGTTTCAGCCTCTGTCTGCCAATGTGGCTCTGGCCCTGGGCAGGGATTCTGCGTCCTTTCAGAGAATCCTGACATCGTTGGACCTCCCATGTTAGCCAGACAGAGGGCCACAGCCACTGCCACAGGGACCGCTCTGCGAGGGGAGCAGGTGATTGGCTGTGTTGGTGTGGCCCCTGCCCCGCCCCCAGGCTGGCTGTGGACCGGAACAAGTCATGCCCGCCCCGGCC